TTGATTGTAATGTGTTTTGTAAAAAGTGTTGTAACAGCCAGCAGAAATACTCACGAATACTCGCTTATTACTATGCTCAGCGCTAATACAATGTAGTTTTTTGTTATTATTAGATTTGTGTAATATATAATTGTCCATTTGTGTGTATTTTTGTCTTACCACATGTACTTATTGTAGTTGAATGCTAAAATAAATTATTATTATTTTAATTTTATTCAAATTTCACCCGAAACATACACGTTTACGTCTACACCCCTCACGGGTCAATAATCTCCACGATCCAAACTGGTATTCAGAAAATTGCCGCAACGAAACCAGTTGAAAAATAATAACCATAACCTAGACAATCTGATTATTATTGACCGTTTTGTAAACAACGGCTAAATTATTCCGATTTGATATTTTGAACGAGGTGAACGTGACATTTGGGTGAAACCATTCCTCCCAAATATGGATACGATCCTATTTGTACTTTTTGTTGTTCATCAGAAATGTGAAACCAATTATAATATGTTATTATCAGATTAGTCATTTGAATGATTCAAACGCAAAAGTACGAGAATAATGTATGAAAGTCATTTTTTGCGGAAAAAATCAGAGTTTTTCCATCTTTTTTTGAAAATATTCACCCTTCAGAATCGGAAAAAATATAAAAATTGTAATGGAGAATTGTATACGGATGTAGATCGGTAAATACATCTCGTTAAATTATTCCGAAAATTCGAAGTATTTTTCACAAAGAAAAATGTTCCAATGATCAGTAACTTGTATTTAATAATTTTGCTTTGTCTTCAGAATTGGAAAAACATAACGATAACCGCGTTTCTTTTCACTGTTTCACTTTATTTTCAAGTGTAAGTCAAAGGAGTATTGAAAGTTAAATTGTCAATGTTGTAGATCGATTTCTGCAACATTAGATGTAGTAGAAGGTGTTGCCTGGTATTAGTCTATTGCAATTTCGCCACTAGCCATATGTTTCTTCAAGACGGATAGCCAATTACGATCCATTTCTAAGTAGCTCCCTCGTATTTGAATGAAACAAGACAACTTCTTGTTCCATTGAACTCGATGTTATCATTCTGATCTCAAAATGTGTTCTGACAATGTTTATCCTTTTGTCCGTTTTTATCCTGACTCGTTGTATTATCGACGTTTTCACGCACTTTCAATTGTTTTGAAGTTCCACTTTCATCACTCATGAATTACATTTTTTATTGTTTCTTCTGTGTTGTTGGGTATTGCATGTGTGATAATAGATCTCGGTGTAATTGTTATTATATAATAAGTTCTATTAAAGTATCTACTTCCAATTTGTCTTACCTTTTCAGATGGTCCTGGAATTTAAGAGGTAACGTTAGTTGTGAAAGGTGTCGGTGGTTGTTGAGTCAGTAAATTATGAATTGCTGGTTGTTGAACTTGTGGTGCTGTTTGTAGGGTTATTTGTTTTTTAATTGAATGTTTATTTTCTACTGCACTCATTGTCAAATTTTGAACGAATCCGAATAAGTGTTCTACTTCAGAACAGATATTATAATTGATACTTCTTTATTAATATTCTTGACTGTATTGCAAATCTTTCTGCTCTGTTAAAGAGACAATTCCTCATACCTTTTCTTTAATGTTGAAGAGGTTGTCATAAAAACTGATATAAATGTTCATCATTTCATGTATACCTATCTCCACTGGTGAAGATAATTAGTTATTGTAGTATTGGTATTGATTATTCAGGTAATATTCGTTATTTCAGGTACCTGACCTTATCAGTGTATATTTAAGCACTGGCTTGATGAATTAATTACTTGAAAATGGTCAAATTCAACGACGTTTCCATATTGTCCATGTCATCTCCAGCTTTAAAATTTTAAAAATAGTACAATATTGAAATTGAAAGTTTGAAAACATAATTCGTTAAATAATATCAAATATGACTAGAAATTAATGTGGAGGAATCATTTATGATTTCTACTTACAAAATAAATGAACAATATTACTATTTTGTAATTATTTTGTTTTCTCGTTTAGAATGATAGTGGTTGAATGTATGAACGAGATTGTTGGTGTCGAGTTTGTTTTACCTGTTATGGGTTTTTTTCTATTTTTTAATTTATTGGAATGTTCCACTTTTTCGATTATAGTATGTGAACTCTAGTTAGCTTTTTGTAAATTCCAATGAGAAGATGTAAAATCAGTTTTATTTCAGTAAGTTATAGACTTAGTTGAGGTTCTGGTATTCGCATCTATTATTATTATTGGATTTCGTTCTTTAGTCAAAATTTCAACTTTGTCAAAGTCGAATTTATATTTTTTTTTTCATGTTTGGACAAGGCTGTAATGTCAGTTTTCGTTTGTGGAGGTATTGTTTAGACTTACTTATACAGGGCGTTAATTAGCCGTTTCTGACAAACTATTTAACGGATCAACCTGAAAATTTCACAGTATGCATAAATCAATATAACCTACACGCCTAAAATATTTCAGACGAAGCGGCGTTGTCGCTTCTACTATAAAGTAGCGGCTTCTTTGATTTTTCAAATGGAACNTCGTTGGCCTCCTAGAACACCAGATGGCAATCCATTAGATTATTTCGTATGGGGTTTCATTAAAAATATGGTTTACTCTACTCCAATAACAATAATATGAAATCGAGAGTTACAACTGCTTTCAATAGTTTGACTCCAGACTTGAGCAGAAGCGCTACACATGACAATCTTTTCAAGAGATTACATGTTTGTTTAAGTAGAGGTGGATATGTGTTTGAACATATTCTGAAATACACTGACAATTGAATTAACTCATTAATTTATGGGTTTATTATTTTCAGTTCGTGTTTCAGCGTTAATAAAACTATTGTCATTCGATGGTTGAGGAGTATTTTAATAATTATCTTTTCATTGTATTATCTGTGACTAATTGAGAAACATCAAACGAAATCTGTTTTACAAAAATGAGTGATGAACAAGGAAACCATGTCAATTTCCGTTTGAAACAGTTTATCTCGAAAACGGTTCAAAATAGAAATAGTATTATCTGAACAAAGTTAATCTAAAATTGGATGTAGAGCTCAGGGTGTTCCATTTGAAAAAATTGAGTTCCACTAATTTTTTAATGAAATCAAAATATCTGCATTTTTTGAAGATCCTGTATGAGGCAAATGAAAATATGACTCGGAGTGAAGATCCTCATAGTATCACTCCACTCCATTTCAAATTTGATTGTTTTAGTGCAAGAGAGTTCAAGATTATCAGCATTTATAAAAGTTCATGTTTGGTAAAAAAACATCGAAATTTATATCTTCTAAACGGTAATAGATAGGTATAGGGAAATAGTATATGAATTTGTTGACAAAGTGATAATGAATCATAATATTATATTTTACACGGGGTGTTCCATTTGAAAAATCAAAGAAGCCGCTACTTTATAGTAGAAGCGACAACGCTGCTTCGTCTAAAATATTTTAGCCGTGTAGGTCATATTGACTTATGCATACTGTGGAATTGATCTGTTGAATAGTTTGCCAGAAATGGCTAATTAACGCTCATCATGAAAAGCCCTGTATAGGTACTTTCACAATCTTCGCATGATATACTATATACTGTGTGGGTTTGTTTATTTTTTGGGATTTCAGGTTTCGATTTTGAGTATAAGGTGTTATTTTTATTCTGTAATGTATGTGCTGTGGTTATGTTGTATTTTTCTATTGTTTTGTTGATTTCATGGGCTAGGTACGGTAAGGGTATATATAAGGGTTATTATCATCATTATAAATAACATGTATTCTTTTTTTTTATTTCCACGAAATGAGATAGGTTATTGTTTTCTTTTAGAATTATTCTTTATAAATTGTCGTTTCTGAAGTTTGGGTGAGTAAGTGAGTAAGTAAGTTATTCGTGTAGCGATGAGAATTTTTCCAGAATTGTCATATATTACCGTGGTATCAAAAAAGTTTTTTTTTCCACAGTAAAATTCAATCTAGGGTGAAAGTTATTGAATTTGTTTTAAATTTCGTCAAGTTTGTCATTAGGTATACATGTCAAACCATCATCTACTTATTCTTTGAAAAAAGTGATTGACTTGATGACGTTTTCTTCAACATACTCCATTACAAGATTTGATATAGTTGCAGCAATTGGAGAACACATTGCAATTTCGAATATTTTTATATTTTGTGCCATTTTTCTTTAATAACATTTATTGCGAGTTTTGTATATAAGGATACTATGTCTAGTGAGATAATCGCATGGCTTTTTCGTTTTTAATAAATTCTACCAATTTTCAAAAGTTTTTTACATAGTAGTCATTTTTTTCATCAACATTAGTGAGAATTTCTGAGAAAAATTTTGATAAGTTGTCAGTTGCTGACTGAATATTGCTGACAATAGGGCGCAGTGGAATTCCTGTTTTATATAATTTGGGTAGCCTGTATATTGTTGGTGATTGTGCGTTGTGTAAATTCAATTTATTCTTTGTTTTTAGATCTACAGATCTAGACCTACAGAAAGACTTCAAACAAAAGTGAATAATTTTGTGAATAATTGGTTCAAATCAAAAACGATAGATAGAAGATGATTGTTCTTTTTTGCATTCTTCAATTATTGTCTTCAATATGTGCTCAAAATAATATTATTTTGGATTGATGATAACTTTCATCTACATATATAAATAAAACATTCTCTTTCTAACGTTTTGAATACATCGGTCGAAATAATGACTTTTCATTGATTGAAAAACTTCGATTTCTCATCAGCTTGAAGAAACTCATTTGATATGAGACATTTTTATGATGTTTGATGTTTTACCAAATATTATCAATCATGAAAAAAATGTATATATAACTCATTACAAACGCCATTAAGTTTTCACTAATTTTATTTCCGTTGCAACTCATACAAACTCTTTTCTCAAAGAAAAATGTTTTACCAGTTAGCGATTTGTGAAATTTTGTAGTTCACATTTTGTAAGCAACAAAAGCTCAGCAGTTTTGAAGATGGTTTTTGTTTCAGAACACGCGGCAGTACCGGCACGGTCAAATTGAACGATGTTGTGAGAACTCACAGCCCACGGTTTAGAAAGTTATCCGCCTATATCCCGCAAGATGAAGAGCTACGTTTGGCTTTGACTGCGAAGGAGGCCATGACATTTGCTGCTCACCTCAAACTGGGTTACGGCGTTTCTAATGAGTATAAAATGCAACAGGTAATTGATGCTCATTACTTTTATCGCGAAATGTTGATGCGGTTTATCATAAGAAGCTTTCCAATGTCGTTTTTTCTAAACGATTTGAAACGGGAGTGTACTCATCTCAAGATTAGATCTAATATGACTGTTGTAACTTGTTTTATGATTTCATTATTCGTGACTAAATGTGCTACTTTTTCTAACAATCTAATTTAATATACAGTGTGTCTCATTTCAACTTCGACCACCCCTGTATCTTTTTTGTTTGGAGTTGAACAATAAAAAAGTGCCTATTTTTATCGAACAAATGTATTTCAAAAACGTTATTAGAAATTTTCCCATATACTCGTATCTCCAATATTATTCAAATCTGAATGATATACAGGATGTATCACTTTAGCTGAGATCACCCCTGTAACTTTTTTGATTGAAGTCGCATTGAAAAACTTTTTTTTCAATATGCAGAGTGTCAGAGACGTACTTGCTTATAAAACAGGAAGGGGTGTCAAATCAGGTAATTTTGGTGGCCATCAAACTGTTGGGCTATCCATCCGCACTATCCACCTCCACGGAAAGTTATTATTCAGCTAATTTTTTCTTCATCGCAAGGTACAAGAGAATATAAAAACTTAAATGGTTTCAATTTATGTTTTTCTCAAACAACGTCATATTCTGCTCTTATCCAAATTCAAATTTTTAAACATATTTCTGAATCGTGGAGTATCATTGAAAGCTATCGATATCTCATTATCAATTCCATTATTAGTTTTTCAATTTGGCCCAACTTTTTTGTAATTCAGAGAACCAATTTTTCTAAAAACCTCATCTACAGTAGAATACCGTCGTACGTACCTATTGAATTCCTCAGCAGCTTTTCTGTAACTGTAACACCTAATAAACTTATTATTTGAAGGATCTTGAACATTCAAATGATGCATATTATCGAATGCATGAAAAAACTGACAGATGAATGTGGAGGAATCTCACTTCAATTGTTTTCAGGGCATAGAGACATATTTTCTGTTAAATTTACTACGAATTGTTGAGCTTGTGCTCAACATTCCATCAGGTAAGTTGACGGCACATCTGCAGTTATCCGATTCTGATAAAATTTTATACTCGAGTCTTTCGAATTGCTGCGAAGAAGTTTCTAAAAATAAAATCTCTGATATTTTTTCGTTCTACTAGAGATCTAAAATTTTGAAAAAAATCAAATCAAACAATTTTCAACCACATATCTTTCAGTAAATATATTCAATAATCTTCTTTATATCAGAGAGGAGTCAACCTCTTTCAATGTAGTGATTTGTTTTAGTAGTATTGACATGTTTCAATGGTTCAAATGTAACATTCTTTTCGACACAGCCATCCTCAATAACAGTAATATGTGTAATAATTTTATATTGTACTACCATCATACAAATTTTGTAGCTCTTCCTTGAAAATGATAATGAATTTTATCGAAATATTGTGTTATAAGAGTACACTTCCGTTCTGCTGATCACCCAGAAATAGTGAATGAGACAATCGGCAACACCGCACATATATAAATTGGGGGTACAACATTGTCTAAACTAAAAACTAGCAAATGGCTAGTTTTTTTCAGTTCATTTCTATGTGATCAAATTTTATTCAATAGGAGAGCGACCACCATATTACCGAAAGTTACGAATTTCATCACTAGAAACTGACTGACATAAATAAAAGCCGATCAAAATGTGACCAATAAGTTCTCTCTTATTTCTTAAAGTTCAAAACGTCCCTGTAAATATTTTATATATAGAGATATTGTATATAGATTATATTCATTCTCTAATGAAAACGGCGGTACTGATTTGGGTCACGAACTTGCATGTCCGACCATATGCGTATATGATTATATTCGATTTGAGTGTTGAAATGAGAATGACATACCCAAGTTGGATTATGTTTAGAATCAGATACGATATAGAAAAAAACGTGCAATCAAAGTAACGGTGTATCTGGGCTACCGACCTTATGTGGATAACATCTGATTGAATGAACATAAAATCTGGGTGAATAAATCTGCTCTAAATCAAAATAAGTCTGACTGTTTCGACGAGATATACATTTGTATTAAAACAAATATTGAAATATGTACCATTCTCAACGTTTCCATACAGTAGAATCTAGCAAATGCCTGCCGGAAAACTACTTAACTTTTCCTGGTACTACCGCGATCGACATTGAATTATTCCCGGCAGACATTTGTAGAAGTTTCATCACAGATAGAATTCTTGCAAATGTTTCTCGTTATTCCACAAGCAAAACCACTTATCAATCGATTGATCACTAAAATACCAGTTTCGGAGAAATACTGCTTGTCAGTGTGGGATATATCCATTGTAGACAGCAGTGTGTCCAGGACACGACCGACATACACAAATGTAATAATAATAATTATAAAAAACAAAGCACTTAAATGAAATGAATAGAAACACTTTTGTCTGAATACCACTGGTAGATTTCAGTATAAAACAGTTTTATACTTGATAATGGGGTCAAACCCGAAACCGGTCGAATAAGTAAAATCTACCAGTGGTATTTAGACAAAAGTGTTTTTTATTCATTTCATTTAAGTGATCATGAATTACCATAAAGTAAACAATTCATCAATCACACATTAAAAATCAAAACGCCTGACTCCCTTTCCTCAGGTCGAGTGGGCTGAAGTCGGAAACTGAGGGGTTCATCATGGTCTGCCAGGGTGGTGTCTTCAACACCTTAGGCTACCGCAGTCGCGTGATGGGTATAGAGATTCCCGACACAAGGTGCAGGGCTTGCCGCGAGGCGTCCGAAACCCTAATGCACTTGCCGTCAGCATGTTTAGCATATGCGGTCTCGCCCTCTATCCATCGACATAACGCGGCCCTAAGATTGCTTCATTACCATCTATGACACTCTTACGGTAGCCCGAAACACGTGTCTATGGTTTGCCACTTTCTTGAGTGCTTTGTTCGATATTAACTTTTGTTTCTATATCAAGACACTCAATAACTTTCATATTTGTATAATTTCCTGGGCCCAGATGTCACGCAGGTAGCTATAGCTGCCTCCGTGGTGATTTTTATAGTTTTCTTGTAAACACAAGATCTATAAACTGAAACCACAAATGTGCGGTTGGCTCCTGCTGGTGGCTCCATACATTTGTATTTCTATCTTTTGGTAACCAAGTCTAGCCCATCCTTACACTTGGCTGCACCATACTGATGATGAACAAAAAGTCCGAAACACGTGTCTATGGTTTGCCACTTAAATAAAAATTTAAAAGTAAATTTTTTTGACTACGTCTCCCTTTGAAAATACACTTTCACTTCATAGGAAATATAGTTGAAAATCCTTCAACTTTGCATCCATTAACATATTCATTCTGATAACGCTGTAAACACTTTTGGACCTGAGACGATGATACATTCTAAGAATGAATTTAATATAGACTTCCAGTACTAACCAACCTATAATAATTATTATATACCCAGAATCATTCCACGTTGAACTAAGTTGTACCGATTTATTTTTTCAATGTCAGTTTAAGAAATGAATCACCTCAAAGTGTATTCATGCAAAAAATATTAATGGGCTTCATAAAAACTCAATCAACTTTTCAATCATTGCATTACCTATGATTTTATCACATCTAATAACAGATATAAAAATAACCTTAAAATAATATTGAAATTATATTTGAGTAACGAAATTTGGATAATTTAGATAATAATGGATGAATATTATACAAAATTAGAAAAAACTTGGGAACTTGGGAAAATGTCATTCAAAAACTTGTTCTAAAAGTCGCAATTAACCAAGAAAATGCTATTTTGATTATCAGACAACTTAGGGCAAGCGCACCAACTAAACTATCGGCCGATAGTTTAGTTGGATGCTTATTAGTATAGAATCGTAATGTGAGGCGCACATCTAAGCGATTCCAGTCGGCCGACTGAATAATCAGAAACAAGTTGGATAGGCTTTCCAATTCTGATTCAATTACAAAGTTGGACAACTATCGGCCGAGTTCTAATCAGACTGTGTGTTTATGAGAATGCGCAGACTCAGCAACTAAACAGTCGGTGCCTGGAGACTCCCCACTCTACATTCCATTGTTGATATCTGATATCAAATATTATCTAGTACCTACTTTATCTTTGAATATATTTGCGTTTTCATTACATTTTTTTTTCATAATTATGTCGAATGTTGCCGAACGTTGAGTAGAAAATTTAATTGCGTAAGTTGAAAAGCGACCTGCATTATATAATGAAGCATTAAAAGAATATTCCGATGTTAATATAATAGCTTTCCTCGATAGCATTCTTCAATACTTTCAATTCAACGCGTCAAAATATCATATACATAAACAACTGTTCAGACTTTTCAGTTGGGCACCCGCACCAAACCGAACAGTTTAGTTTGAGTATTGTGCCCCCACCCAACCCAACCAGACTAAACTATTGGCCGATAAAAAGTCTGTAGTGTGCGCTTCCCCCTAGTATTATCGTCTACCGTACACAAACGGGAAATACCTTACAATACAAACCACAATTACCAAACCAGAACTATATCAAGTTCAAAAAAAGTAAGGTACAATAATGTTGCATCTTAGGACGAAGTGGATGTACACTTGGTTTACCTGAAAACGTGAGATTATAGAAAGTTGTTCAATATCAAATACAGAGTGAAAAATAGGTTACAGAATATTGATTAATGATATAATTCCGAAATGTTTGCGCTGTAATTTTATACATTGAGAGATTTAAACTCATAACCTGAGTGGTACAATAGTCGACTCTCCATTCGGTTCATGCTCACAGGTTTGATACAATTTTTTGGGACCTACTTTTGGTGATATTTTCACTCTTACGTTTTTTGTCATATCTCCAGAGGTGCTATTCTTTTTTCCATTTTTTCCCATTTGTACTGATTACTTATGTGATTCTCTTTCTGTTTTCCGTCCATTCTTCAAGGTGAATATAGTCAATTAACGCATCAGTGTTTTG